TCTGTTTGAAGAACTGAGGGAGGATACTTACTAGTTGTAACTTTAAGATGGATAGGTGTTGGTGGGATATGGCATTTTTTATCTCTTTGGAGTCTCAGTACTAGACCTGATAAATTATCTTGATTGAGGAGTGTTGGAAGGGGAAAGAAACAGGAACAGATCAGGCTGTTACTTCATCTATATGTCTGATAGATTCTTTTCCTTATTCAATCATTGTGTAGATGTACAACTTTTTTCCTGCATCATACATTCTTTTAACTTTCTTAGGGCTGAATGAAATCGAAAGATGAAAACAATATTCAACATGAGGCTAATCCAACTAAGTGGAGTTCTTACACTTTTTTCTTTCTTTATGTTTGCTAATTTATGATTTTTGTTTTCCCAGTCAATTCTGGGCAGGTAACTAGACTGTTATTCTGGGCAGGTAACTAGACTGTTCTTTGTCATTCTCTGGTAACTGTCTGGCTGCAAATGTCATCAAATTATATTTATTAGACTTCTGTTAATGGTCCCTGCTTGTTGATAGCCATTGGTTTGTGATTGAGCTTACATCTGAAATTATGAGCTGTTCTGCAGGTATATTGCCAAGACATTATGTCGCGAAGACAATGAAGAGATCCCTAGTGACAACAATAACAAAAAAAATATGGAGGAGCCAAAGTTGCTGGGCCTAAATCCTGGTACCAATGAGAAGGTTTGGCTAAAATTTTCTACTTACTGGGTTACCAAATGATATATATGTTGTGTAGATTATTTTTGTTTACATACATACATTAATGGTTGTGTTTAGGTTCTTCTGAAGAGTGGTCCGTATGGAAACTATGTTCAGCTTGGTGAAGACAGGGAAGGTTTCTTGCCTAAACGAGCTTCCCTGAACAAAGTAAGTAAAACAGTTAGTGGCTTACATAAAGAGCTCCCCAACCACGAAGCGACCCCCCCCCCCCCCCCCAAAAAAAAATCCCAAAAAAAAAAATCTTCTACACTGAAGAATTGATTTTTTAAGAGTAGAATCTGCATTCTTGTTATTTAGGATTTAACATCTATTTACAGAGAAATTTAATTCTAAGGGAAATATTACCACCATATACCATGAAGTTTCTTGTGGAATTATATTAATTTGTCCAACTTGTTTACGTTGCACGCTAGAGTCTGCAGCACTGTCCAGTATTTAACTATTTTTGGTTCGCCAGCATTTTCAACTGTTATGTGAACATGGTTTTGTTCTCCAATACCTTTTTAATACTGCTTCTGTGCCTGAAAGAGTGATGTATAACTTTTGTTTATACAGAATCTTGTAATTCTTTTTTCTCTTAATTCTGCCAACTTTTGGTATCTTTGAATAATTGCATCGATGAACTCCAGTATTCTGATACATCTTCCTTGTAGTTTATTTAACTCTTTGGCAAGAAAAATTTGGTGCAAGTGTAATAGTTCCATTTTGAACATAAAGGAAAATAAATGTGTTAACAGAATTTTTGGTCATTTAGCTGGTAAAGTCAAACTTTTCATTGTGAGTTCACTACAAAATTTTGTTGAAAGCTTGGGGGTGGATGTCTCGTCTTCTAATGGTTGACTTATTGAGGCCCCTAGAACTTTTATTTTGTGCACATTTTCGGTGCACAGATTGTGCCTCTTGGTCTAGTCAATTTAACTTATGACTTACCAGAAAATTGGAATATGACTTTAGATCTGGCTCAAGTAATATCACATCATGTTTGATAATTGTTAATATGGACAGTTATGGTTTTGGTAAGCAATATGGTCATTTGGATACTTCCTTTTAGGGGTCAATGCCATTTAAGAACATGGGTTGCATGTGTTTGGTTCATGGATGGGAGTCGCATATTACATTGTTTTACTGTCATGGAGCCTATTTTAACACTGCAGTGTTATGCTTCCTTATTCCTTTTTGTTGTTGCGCAACTATGTCACTTTACCATATCTTGGACTATTTTGTCATTTATTCATCTGTGACATCTACTACGTTAAACCTGTGACTTGATGTCAACAATTGGCTTAAAGTCTTCTTGTTGATTGAGGTTGTCCCATGTTGAAAAGCATTTTTAGTTGCTTTCTTTCTTGGAACATTTAAACTGGTTTATTTTGATTTGAACACTTAATTTAAAAGTTACGGATCGTGAGTATCTATCGTCCTTTCCTTCTACAGGGATCAGAAATTCAGTTCTTATTTTTCAAAATTCTGACTTTTACACATCAAATCATGAATGGGAAGGTTTACTGGATTTCCTTTTCCTTTCCAGGTAAAAGATTTGGATTGCGTTACCTTGGAAGTCGCTCTTGAGTTGCTGCGCTATCCAGTGACCTTGGTGTGTCTGTTAGCAGATTGTACTGTTGTTCTTTGTCCAGCCACTCCCCAACCCCCCCCCCCCCCCCCAAAAAAAATCACCCCCAGGCCCAACACACAAAAAAAGGAAAACTCAAAATGGTGCTTAAGTATTTGCTGGTCAACTCATCTAAGTTGCTTGTCTGATATATTAGGGGAAACATCCAGATGACGGCCGGCCTGTGACTTTATTTCCTGGAAAGAAGAAAAGTTTTGTCATTAGACATGGGAGGACATTCGCTCCTGTTCCCAAGGTATGTTTTCTAGTTAAGTCTCTCACCGGCCTGCAGCTGTACCATTTATGTCTATATGCGATTTAGAGTATTGCGTTTAATTTTTACAATGGTTATAATGGCTGTCATAGGATGTTCAAGCTAGGGATAATTTACTGCTTCTGGTGTGCAGAGCCCAGTACTGGAAACTTTTAACTCATTTTGACAACAGAAACAGTTTAAAAACATTATTGCCTTGTTGGTTGAAGATGTTGCCCTTCAACAGATATTCTGATGCATGCACAAATTTATGTCACATTGTAGTATATCCTTTTCTTTTCTTTTTAACGGTACCATGGATGTCGCATCTAGAACACAAAGAGTACACATAAGAAATTGGGAAATGGTGAAGTAGTAAATCATGAAGTAGACATGGGCTCGAAAAATGAATCGAAAAGTAGCTTACCCTTCTTGTCTGGTGTGTTTCCTTATTTTGAACTGTAACTGTAGTATAACTTTGACCTCTTTTCTTGGTTTTTTCCAAATACACAATGCAGTCTGCTATAATGCTTAATCCTCTGAATATTGTGGACAGAACATTAAGTCTGAAGATGTTACCTTAGAGCAAGCGATGGAGTTTCTTAAGGGACCTAATACAACAAGAGTTGGGCGGCCAGTTGTCAAGAAGAAGCTGGAGGAAACCATTGAGGCAATATATTAGTTTTCACAGATGAAAGAACTGAAACCCTTTTTGACTAATTGAAAACAGAAGACAAGCCATTGTTACACTACTGGCATTTCTTGCAGCTGTCAGTTCTGGCGAAGAGCTTTGGATGCAGTATATGACAAAATTCTTTTGAATACGATTAGGAGGATAAAAGCCAATTTGCAGCAGCAAAGAGAGAAAAAGAAAAAATGACTTGATATAATTGGAATCAGATACTACTTTTTTTCATACGTGTTTTAAATATCTTTTGATGTAATTATGCTTGTATTATGCAAAAGCGCCTAATTTTTATATCATGAATGCATTTTTTATGGTTTAGTTTTTTTCGGCATTGTAATAATTTTTCCTCAATAAACGTACATCTTTTCTTATTGAAAAAAAAAAATCCTGAAAATAAGTGAAAGCTACAAGTATTCTTGTCCCAGTAAAGAACTACATTGGCAAAAAAAAAAAAAAAAAAGAGATTCATGCAGACATATTGATCACTCTAATGTGTGATGTTCTGAATTTTAACAGAAGTTCTCTTAGTTTTACACCCTTTATATTGCTCAATTTGAAAACTGAATAGCCAATTGCAAAACCTGAAAATTGAAGTTGACCATCAATTATCAAATCGAGTTAATTATTCTTGAAATAAACCTTCCCAAAAAAAAAGGGTTCAATTTTTTGAGGGATGTTGTCTAATAATTTCATATAAAAAAATGGGTAAGAGGATTAGTATTCATAATTTTTTAGGCATCCTTAAGAAGAATGGTCGTATTTTGAAGTAATCAAAATAGGGCTGTACATACTACATAAACTTATATCTTAAAATTGTAGTTGATAAGTGCGAGGTATACATATAACAATTAGCTCATTTTACGGTCAAGTTTTATATTTATAACGTCCTAAATATTTCATACGCGATTTTTCACAAGTACACCTACAAGGAAGATTGTCAATTACCGTCACTACTAAAATTTCTCTATTATTTAGACGACTAACAAATTAAAGAAAATAAAAATATGCTAAACTTATGCAAGAAAATAGTAAATAAAAGTTTCTTGGATTATGGTATTCCTAACTACTCATGCAAGTGCTATTTTTGGATCATTGAGTACTACTATCTTAGCTAATTATGGCGTAATTTTCTCATGCATGTGAAACCTACTCTCGTAGTGAATCAACTATACTTATAACTAATCCATGCCTACTCTCATGGTTATGAAATTAGTTACAAATTAATTACCTCTATGAAATTATATAAAATGAATCACTAAAACCACAAAAATGTACCTCTACTCTCGTGATTGTACTGTTTAGGTTTAGCACTTCTTGAACTAGTATTAAATCTCAATTTTCATTGAACAAACAACACCTTTAGATAATCACAATTAATGGTACCAAACTAATCATGATTTGAGGAGCAAAAGTGCTAAATAACTTGTTCAAAATAAAAGTATCAAATAGCTAAGAAATTAACACAATACAATCATAAAAAGTTAAACCAAACCTAAGGTATAAACTTTAGAAACACATAATAAATATAAAATCCAAAATTTGCATATTAACTAAACTTATAATCAATTTCAAAAGATAAAGAGTTAGGAAGGTAAAGTAACCCTTGTCATACGAGCTCTCTCCTTGCCTTTTTCATTCTCCAACTTCTTTTTCATTTAGTTAATACACAAGAAATGATGAACTAATTAAAACTATATTGCCTAAACTAAAGAGCTAAAAACTATCTAAGAACTACATTTTGTGGTGTTTCTTCACCCCTTCTCTAAGCTCTCTTGATTCTTGCAACTCATGGCTATTTATAGGTGAATTTAGTCTAGAAATGAGCCAACTAGGGGTGAAGTGAGAAAAGGTGACCAGAAATCAAAGTTAAATGAAAGTGATGACGAGGAAAATAGGTCATCTGAGACTCTAGATGCAGATAAATCACAAAATCCAGTTCACGATGATGTTATATCTGATATGGATTATTTCAGAAGTCGAGTAAAGAAAGAGTGGTCAGATTCAGAAGGTGAAGATGGAGAAAATGAGGATAGTTATGAGGAAGGAGATATCGAAAATGGTAACAGTGATTCTCGGAGGCAAACCAAAGATGAAATGGATATTGAAGATGAAGATGAAGAAGATGTCCAACAAGAAAATGACAAAGATGGAGATGGTGAAGAACCTGTTGACGAACTGATTGAGACTGAAGGACCATCATCAACTGTGGAAGATCCAAAAGAAGTTCTGGAGAGTGGCCGTCTATTTGTCCGTAATTTGCCATATACTACCACGTAAGTACTGAACATTCTTCTTCTTAAAATCATACCATAATAACGTAAGTTGCCAGAATGGCAGTAACCACGGTCTTTCCAATTTGTGACATTCTTATCTTTTGACTTCTGATAATGACTTTAGAGAAGAGGAACTTGAAGAGCACTTTGGAAAATTTGGAAATGTCTTGCAAGTCCATATTGTTGTGGATAAAGATACGAAACGGTCCAAGGGGATTGCTTATGTTCTATATGCGCTTCCAGAATCTGCTTCTAGGTACTGTATCGAGAAACAGTCAGAAATATGCTTTTTTATGAAAATTTGCTGGTATTAGTTTCCATTAGACTTCAAATTGCTAAGTATTTTGCACCATCAAGGTGTGAAATCTGAGTTTTACCTCATTTGATTGGATTGGATTGTGCTTGAAGATTTAAGCTAGATTTTTTGTTTGAATAAATCATTTCTTACATGTATTAGTGATGCAAATTCAATATCTAGATCTGATTCATATTTTGCATCATTCACTTTTTTTTTGTCACTATATTAACAATGAAATTTTCTTCTCCCAAGGAGTTCTATAGCATGTTAGGGTTCTTTTTTCCGTCTTTCCTTGGCATATTTTATTTATTTTGAGAGCATGTCATTTGTAATTCTATTGCATAAAGTCGTGTAAATTTGTATTCATCGTATGTGCATCTGAAAATTCAAGCAGCTAACTTCTAGATTTCTTTAGGGCACTAGAAGAACTGGATAGTTCCATTTTCCAAGGAAGATTACTGCATGTTATGGTGGCAAAACAAAACAGTTCTTCTGAGAAACAAAAGTAAGTTTTTTTCCCCGTTAAATTTTTAGATTTTTCTATTCTGCAGAGATTGTTGGTCTTCCTTTTCTTTTTTCTTTTTTGAAATGCATACAGGGAAAATTACGTCGATGTGAAGGTTTAAATATCAATAATGTATCCTGTGTACTTGTTTAGAAGCTGTATGATTGACAAGAGCCACACTTCTACTGTTCTTGTGTTGTAGGACCAATGTGTTGACTCAACAGTCTGCAAAAACCTTTAAGCAACAGAAGGTGGAGGAGAGGAAGACATCTGAGGCTAGTGGAAATACACGATCATGGAATAGCTTGTTCATGCGCCCTGATACAGTATGTTTCTTACTCATCTTCACAGCTTGACTCAGAAAGAATTTATAATGGTCTGCAGGATTTGCATATGTTTTTGAGTTTACCCTTAAAATTTGATGAGGATTTTGTTTAAGTTTCTTGACCTTCTATTTCATCATCAGGATTCCTAGCTTTCTATTCTATTCTTCTCGTTTCTATTTGCTTCTTTTTCAACCCAACATACAACAAGGCTGCTTGCCAGTCCCTAACAAAGAGTAGGAGAAAACCTTTATTTACAATTCCCGAAGTCGCTCCATCGAGTATGTTGACTACAAGAGTAAAATTACCTGGTGTATTCTACATCAATTGCTTGTTCTATAGTCTTCCTTTGGTTTCTTCTTCTAAAGCTTCAAGATAATGGTACGTTGAGCACTGGGCAAACACCTTCATAGAGACTGCTTCTGGTTTAATGCCAGATTAAGCCCATTCATGTCGTGTACCTTTCATCCAATGACTTTTATCCTTCTCTCCCAAGACAAAAAGAGTAGTTATTCTTCCATAGGATTGGAGAATTTGTTGTGTAGTTTGGTACTTTACCATTAAAACAGGCCTTCTGTCTTACTGCAGGGAGGAATAATAGCTTTATCACTAGGTAACATTTTATCATTGGGGCAACATGATAATGAGCGAATAGTATATATCGTTATTTTCTTTAAATGAGTGTTAATATTTAAGTTGTAAGATGATTAGTTTAGCTGTTGGCCTCTGTGTTTAAGAACTTATGGAGATTGATTACATTATCCTATTCATCTGCAACCCCACTACCCATTACACAATTGAAGAGAGAGAGGGACGAGTACTGACAGGACTTAAAAAAGAATATGAAAACAACGATCAGCTTTAGGCGATAATATTATGTTATTGCAAGCGCAAATGTTTGGAGTTCAAAACTTGAAGGAAACACATGTTTATTGGATAATTCAACATTATGTTCGCATTCTGCATTAATTGATATTTTATGTTGTGAATACTTTTGTTGAGCTTTTGGAAGAATGCACTCTTTTGGACATACTGTACCTCATGTGCATGACTTCTATCCGTGTTGTTCCTTAGAATGAAAAGATGAAAAGAAGATAGAATTCAAATGATTGATTGAGTGATTTTGGTGCATGCATTTGTTCTCGAGGAGAGAAAAAGAACAAATGCAGCCCCCGATAATGATGTCATTTTTATGTTTTTAGATTAAGGACTGAAAATGAATCTAGATTTCTCCTCACATAGGTACACTATATAGTGAAAATGTGTTATTGCAAAGAAAGCAACAATAGGAAAAAAAAGGTACAACTCCCTTTGGTGCCATGCAAAATGCATGCTCTCTCCACTTCATCCTTTGCCCACGAATTGCAACCTCTAGTTTTGATGTCTTCCTTTCAACTGAGTAAAGCTGCGGAGTAAAGCTGTCAATGTTTTTAACCTCTTTCCTAAATCAGGATTTCCTCTGAATGTTATAGCATCTTTAATCTTCTAGTTGTTTGGCTGTCTGATGTAGTCAGCTGCTTTGGTTGCTCAAGTACTGCCTTAGTTCTTTAGAACTAATTTTAGTTATGCATGTGCTAGAGAATTTTTTATTTTTTGGGGGACAAGAATATTGTTTCTCATATCTACTAGAGTTTCGCATCTGCAGGTTTTCCTCATTTAGAGTCTCAACTTCAAATGTCATACCTGTTGAGCATTTCTCACCCTACAAGTTACGCTATTGGTTTTCTCTGTCAACTGTATGTACATTGTTGGACAGAGTTTGATGCTTGATATGTTCCTATATTACTTTATCCTTTCTTATAATGGTTATACTGCTATTTGGTTCTTATATTTTAATTTGGTTTCTCCTTAATTCTTTCTTATCTGGCGGTAGTTAGGATAATTTTTCCTGCTTAGTCTTAATTTATCCAAAACAATTTTTCCTGTGGTTTTGTTTTAGGATTCCCTTAGTGTCTTTAAATTTGCTTTATTTTGGTGTAATAATCATTTCTATATCTTGTATGGCATCATAATATGTTCATCTTTGACTATGGATTGGTATTGTCTGTAATAGTTTCTTTTTCCATGTCTTCTCCTAATTTGTATATGTGGAGCAAACTCTAATTCTTTTTCACTTGCTTCATAAATTGTAGGTTGTGGAAAATATTGCTCGAAAATTTGGCGTAAGTAAGAGCGACCTTTTAGATAAGGAAGCTGATGACTTGGCTGTTCGTATTGCTCTGGGAGAAACTCAAGTGATTGCGGAGACAAAAAAGGCTTTGGCAAATGCTGGGGTCAATGTTGCTTCCTTGGAGGATTTTGCTTCTGGAAAAACTGATGGTATAAAAAGAAGCAACCATGTTATTTTAGTGAAGAACTTGCCTTATGGATCATCTGAAGGTGAACTAGCTAACATGTTTGGGAAATATGGGAGCCTGGACAAAATAATTCTACCTCCGTCAAAAACCTTGGCTTTGGTATGCATCTTCTCTGCTTGAAAATTTTTCTTTTCCCTGCTTTTGGGATGTGACAAATGAATGCTGTCCATTTTACGTTGTGTTACTGAACATTCGACATAGTTGACCTTGAAGGTGCACATAGAGCACTTCTTTTAGGTTTTTTAATTTTTTATGGATTTACTTATTTTTTTCACTTTTAAAATAGGAAAACTTCCTATTCGTCTTTATGTTGTATCTTTTTCATGCTTTATTGCTCAGATCATATTTGTTCTGGCTTCTCGAGCTATCACACCAATATTTACATTTTCTGAATTGTTCTTTACATGCATTTTTTCACGTGTTAGACATTGAGTTGACTAGATCACTTTGACTCATATCAACTTCATATCTGGCATTAAACTTTTTGCATGATTTTTCTCTGACTGGAGCTGTCTTACATATTATTGGTGAATGGCTTCCACACCTTTTCATGATATCAACTTCATATATAGCGCTAAACTCTTTTGCATTATTTCTCTGACTGGAGCTGTGTCTTGTGCTCTCTGTCTTGCATATAATAGCTAGTGGCATGCAGGTGTGGACAAATTCACACACCCGTATACACAGGTTTACGCTCGAGCAAAGACAATATATACTCTCTCTCCCATACTCACAGTTAATGTCAACATTTTTATATTTAAAATTTAAACCATGCTACTACAACTTTCAGTGGTGGGCATTGGACAAAAGTTGAGCAAAATGTGTGTAGTGATATTTAGGGATAGAAATGCTTTTCATGCTATATAGAGTATTGAAATATCATGATGAAGAAACTGGATAGACTATGGTTATTCTTTTAAATGCTTCAGATTCTTATGCTATCTTATTATTGCGAAACTTAGGTTGTCTTCCTTGAAGCGGCTGAAGCACGTGCAGCTTTCAGGGGTTTAGCTTACAAGCGTTACAAGTATGTTTTGCACCCTCGTTCACTATTAGTACTCATTGTCTGCATTCGTTATTTGCCTGTAGATCTGGTATCTGTGCTTGGCACTCTTCTATCATGTCCTTGATGCGTGGAAGCTTTGATAGTGGTTTCTTAAGCTTGGGAAACCAACTAAAGTCTTCAGCTGATTCTAACTCTCAATTTGTCATGGAGTCAAAGCTAGCAAGGTTTTACATGCTACTTGTGTATGTAATAGTGTTACACATTAAGTAAATGGAACAAATTTGTTGAATATTTGGTTATGAGTTGGTCATAACCTAGCGATGAAGCATGGGAAAATCTGATATTCATGGCCCAAGTGCTGCATTAAGCTGCTTCATTTCTCTTAACAATATGTAAACTATTGAAATCCATCCTGCATTGTGGTAGAGAATATGTAGACAGACTGCTGATTTTGTTTCATAGAAGCAGAACATAAGGACTTTTTCTTGTATTTCATAGGAACCATGCATGATTGATAATGGATTCATGATACTTTGCAGCAGCTGCTTCCAATCCTGTTTATCTTTTTTTAAGGAGCTAATTTTCATTTCCTATCCAAGTTATTTGGCATATTGGATACTGATTGAGTTATTTTGCATATTTTCAAGCAGTTATATGCTAATTTTATGCCTTGCTTTGAGCTTTTTCTATTGATTTAAGGGTTGGCCTGGCCACAACTCAGTGTTCTTCCATGTTCCTTTCTATAGATTTAGCCTTTTACAAGGACCAACAAGGCTGTTTTGATAGAGAAATGAAACTAATAGTTCTTGAGGTTCAGATAGTCGTTTTCAAATTCTTGGTCTCATGCACCATCTGAGTGCTTGCTTTTTTTGGCATTATTGTTGGAAGATGGGAGGTGCCTGAAATCCCTTTTGCTGACCCTGTTTTATAGAAGGTTTTGGATGTTTGTCTCTTGCAAAAAAAAAAACTTGTAATCTAGAGGAGACATGCATTTGAATTAAGTTCCATGCGTGCTGATTTAGTTTCCTCTTGTTTATAATCTGCTGGGAGTTTGAAATAATTCTCTTTATGTCTTGCCTGCTGTCTTCTTGCATCTTGTCTACATACATATGCTCTCTTTCTTGCTTGTCATACTTTCCTCCCATTCTCTCCTTTAGAAATTCATGATGTACATGGCCTTGTTTTTATGGTTACATTGCTTGTTGTGCTTTCTGTAGTCATGCTTCTTAGGCAAAATATTTGTGCAGTTGTTAAAGGTTCTTTGTGGGAAATAGTGTAGAATTTTTTTAATTTATGTGCTGGTTCACTTTTATTTGAATATTATGCTGGCTTAACCACAATTATGTTACATGAGTACATGTTTGAAAGCTTTATCATATGTGTCTGATTTAGTTGAAGCAAAAATTCACGTATCTAAATCCAATTTATGTGGATAAACTGCTATCATTAGTCATCTACATAAATAACTTGAGTACTTGAATTGTGAGATTACTATCCAATTTGCCAATGCACTTTAATATCATTGTTGTCTTGCTTCTCATAGTATAAAATGTATCCTCAAGTTTGAAAGATGCCATGCAGACAGCTTCTTTTGTTGTTTGTGGGTTTTTGAACGTATTTAATGACATGTTCAGTCAATTAATTGACCTCCCTAGTTTAGAGATTGGCTTTTTTAGCTTTTTAACCTGATGGTGATACTTTTAATTTCAAGAAAATCTGCAAGATGGTAAATATTAGTTACATTAATAATGACATCTCTTATTGTGACGTAGAGATGCTCCACTGTACTTGGAATGGGCACCTGCAAACATCCTTAGTCAAAATGCATCATCTTCAGATGGTTCAGATGATAATGTTGTTGGTGAGCATGATGTAAAGAAAGTTTTGTTAGAGCAACAAAGAGGAATTACGGATGCTGACGTTGATCCTGACAGGGTTGAGGTGATAATATGAGCTATTTCATGTCATCACTCTTCTTCATTGGTAGTTTTCATCTTACAATTATTGTATTTGTTTAAATCTTCTATTGGTTTTCAACTAGGTGGTGCTGAGTGTGGTTATAGTCCCTTCTCCCTTCTACAGTTCCTATGTTTTAAATGAAGTCTTGTTGTTGTTGATTTTCTTTTTTTTTTTGGTTTTTGGGGGGTTTTTTTTTGGTTGTGGTTTTTTTTGGGGGGGGGGGGGGGTTATCAGAAAAATGTGACTTATGGATGCATGAAATTCAAGCCTGCGTGTTACAGCTCAAGCTTTAGTTGCACTTAAGAGTTATAAAGGACTTGTGTCCTCCTGCCCGGATTTCATGAATTATAATGTTTATCTTGATTTCAAAGTTATCAATTTGGTTGGCTTTAAAGGCACCGCATATGACCAATTATAAGTTCCGCTTGGTTCGGGTGTTTTGACTAAACTTCACTGTGGAGAAAGTAAAAACTGTTAGTGTGTGTTGATTATTGTAGTTGTTGACACTTGTCATAGACAAAATACAACTCTCTTTCCTCTTTCCACATGATAATATCTAGGATAACTAGCATAAGACAAGATAACTAGCTGCCTTCGACGAAGTAAGGGAGTAAAGATGGTTCATCGCAACTAATACCCCTCCAGACGATTTTAATTCCTTACGTGAAGGTTCCGAATGGGTCAAGGTTGGTTGTCACCGCCTCAAGCTTCAATTAGGAAACATAATCTTAAGGTAAAATATCCAGTGGCCTTTGATGAAGTGAAGGGAAGTAACGATGGTTCATTGCAACAATCCCTCCTCTTTCAAAATATTTTGATACCTTCTGTGTCTGTGTGTGTGTGTCTGTTGTCTGTTTGTGGCAAATGAGTAAAGCTTGGTTGCCTTTAGATCAAGCTTCAATTAGGAAACACAATTTGATTCAGACAATGTTGATCTTAGTGATTTACCTACTATTGACCTCCATAATGTTCTCGAGTTATTTGGTGCATGAGCTGCATTTAGGGTCATGTGTTTGAGCTTGAGGGTCCATTCTAGAACTCATTTGTTTGCCATCTTTTGGTCATACAGTCGAGATCTTTGTACGTGAAAAACCTGAACTTCAAAACATCTGATGAGAGCTTGAAAAAGCATTTCATCGGACACCTGAAGGAAGGAAGAGTACAGAGTGTCCGGGTAGTGCTTCTGCTTCTTATTCTCTTAACTTCATCAGCAGTTCAGAACATGTTACTTCCAGTGCTACTGTTGTCATCACTCACATGTTTAGATGCTTTCCTGTACTCAATGATTTTCGCATTCAGGTGAAGAAACATGTAAAGAATGGGAAAAATGTTTCTATGGGTTTTGGTTTTATAGAGTTTGATTCCATGGATACAGCAATGAATGTTTGCAGAGATTTACAGGTAATATTTATTGTTCATGCAACCTTTAAACCTTTTTAGACTGTTTTGAGTTACTAATTTCAGTTTCTTTTCCTTGCCCCAGGGAACTGTTTTAGATGGGCACGCACTTATTTTGCAACTTTGTCATGCTAAGAAGGACGAACAAGTGCCTAAAATAGGGGAGAATGATAGGAGTTCGACAAAATTAATAGTGAGAAATGTAGCTTTTGAGGCGACGGAGAAAGATCTTAAACAATTATTCAGTCCATTTGGCCAGGTAGCTATTACTTATTGCCATGTTAAGAGTCACGACCATAAGTAGTAGAGTATTGTGTTGTTGAATCAATGATTGATAAGTTACTTATTTGGTTAAGTAATAACTAGACCTCAAAATGAACTACTGCACTCCATTTAGGTTCTTACATGTGGATTACAGATACTAACTCTGTTTATTTTGAACATCAAGCATAATCAGCAGTGACAGTTCAATATGCTATATATAAGCTCACATGATCACAGTGATAAGCATGTTTCACACCAGCTAATGAGGTTTATAGGTCACCTGAGTTTCAGTTGTGGCACAATTTGCAGTTCTTCTGTGTGCTATGCTGCCTCTTTCAAACCTGACAGCAGAATCATGCCATCCTTTTCTTTCTTTGTTGTTTCTAGCTTGTCAAATGTTTTCTGTTGGTTTTTCTAGAGTCGGACGAAAGTCTTTCATGAAATTTCCAAAAAATGAGAAAGAGAGGTTGGGGTTGGGTTGGCGGGCTGGCAAAGACTCAACGCCTTGCCAATGTCCTACATCATACCTTGGGGTTTCATCTTGAGGCAGTTATCAAAATTGCGGCAACCCCACTTACCACCACACTCCCCCTCCCCCCTTGTCGGCCCAAAAGTAAAGAAGAGGAGGGAAATAAATTGAGAATCAAGCTGAAGGGCTTCTGACAAAAAAGTTTTTGTTGTATGGTTGTTCTTAAATGTTTTTTCTTTCTTTCTGGCGATTGAGGTGGACTAAAGTTGAACAGCCTCTTTTTCTATCATATTCATTGAAATTTATTCTCTTTGACTGACATCGTAAGTATGATACGGAACCAGATAAAGCATTTGAGGTTGCCAATGAGGTTCGGGAAGCACAGAGGTTTTGCCTTTGTGGAATATGTGACAAAGCAAGAGACAAAGAATGCTCTTCAAGCTCTTTCTAACACCCATCTGTATGGTCGCCATCTGGTATGTTAGTTGAGACCTCTTGAAACATGAATATATTATATCTGTTCCAAGTTATCTGATTGCCGTTCTGACCTTCAGGTTTTGGAGAGAGCAAAAGAAGGTGAGAGCTTAGAGGAACTGCGGGCTCGTACAGCTGCTCAGTACACTGATGGGCAAAGTTCTACTAAATTATCCAAGAAAAGGAAGCACATGGCTGTCTTGGATGAAGGCAGTCTTAGGTTTGAGAGAATTGCAGATTAGCTGGGTGGTTTGACATTGTTCTTTCTTTTGTATATTATAGAAAAGAAATGATGAAGATTAACTTCTTATTCCTCCATAAAAAAAAAAAGGAAAGAAAAGATTAACTTCTTAGTCTTGCTTAGTTCTTTCTTGTGTAGTATGGCTCCATTTTTCCCAGTTGGCAGCCGTTATCTGGCATACGATCTCTTCTATAAGAATGCCATTGTAAGATTAGAGGGGTGTTTTACAAGGGCTAGTAAAATAAGTACTAAAGTTCTTTATAGATTTTGTAATTTTTGCGCTATGCTGGATTGATTTCCAACTTTTCTTGAAATATCTCTGTAAGCTTTAGTTTCTCAAGGATAGAAGGTCTCAACAGTTGAGATCAGGGAACCAAACGCACAGGCTAAGATGGACAAGTCATGCTTAATGACTTGGAGTAGCTTTGGTGAATTAACATCATTGTTAATATAAGGAGGGAAGCAATACAAAAAATTCTGCAAAATCATTGTGAATATGGTGGCTCAGAGCACCTAACTGTAACAAGATTCATTGTTTAAAAGGTGAACAAAGGATTGCAAGTCCAATGCAGAATTCTGCACTCACTGTTCTTCTTCTTCTTTTTTTTGCAATTGTTTATTTGCTCTAATATTCCACGTCCTTGCAAACAAAAAGTAATAGAATATAATTGTGTCAAATCCATTTATGAAATAGAATTACAATATATTAATGCGACAATTCATTCATAAAATTAGGTTGGGTAGTACAGTAGGAGGGATCGTAAATAGGAAGTTTTGAATTTAAAACCTCCTATTTATATATAAAAAAAATGTCAAAATATACAAAAAAAAAAACCCATGAAATTATATAAAGAAAAAATGGAAAACAAGAAAATTCCATAGGCAACATTCGCACAATAACCTAATATTTTTTACTCTTTTTGTTTAATTTCTTACCAATTAAATGCACACCGGCTTAATATGATTAATCCGTCACCATAATTTATTTTCTCATAAATTACAGAAAGTAAAAGGAAAAATCGTAAATTCCTTATTATTTTCTCAAACCACAAAAATAGAAAAGACGAATACCATTCTTCATCCAAATACCCCGACTTTTAAAGAGAAATACAAGTCTGCCCCTCCCCTCATGCAATCCACATTGCCCAATTAACCACAGTTAATTGCAATTAACCACGCGTTACCTTTGACGTCTCTATATAAACTCCCGCCAGTTTTCTTCTTCTTCTTCATTCCATTTCAGCATCTTTCCGTTTTACTACAAACGCATTTCAAATTTTTCTTTCGTTCCTTCTCTCCAAGTTTTCCAACTCTCTCTCTCTAACAGATTCTGGAACGAGAAACAAAAATGGTGAGCTAAGATAATCTCTTCGAGATTTTTAGCATTCCTTCAAACTTCGTCGCTTTTTCTCAGCTCCGATCGCGTGCGGCATGAATTTCCAGAAATTTTAACCATGAATTCCTCTTTGTTTTCAGGTTGTTGTGCAGAAAGTGAAGGAATCGGAGATTACCGAGCAGGACTCGCTTCTCCTGGTGATTTAATCCATTGATTTTTTTTAAAAATGTTTTACGTTGTTAAAAGTTTGAGTACTAGTAGCTTTTTCTTCTATCTTCAACGTTCGGTATGCATGTTGCTCGAGTTGATGATGCTGTTATTTCGCCTTTTGTCTTGATTAATTTGATCAGATGATGCAACGGAGCTGTTTCCGTCATTTTAGTTGCCATATTTTCTGATCTTCTTTTTGCTACTTAGTGTAGAATTTTGATCACTGGAGGTTCTATCTTTGGATGATGAATGAAAAATTACACAAATCATGGCCTAATGTAGTTTCCAGATATTGACTTTTGAAGCAGTTTGCGTCCTTGAGTATTTCTCATAAGAATTTAACTGTATTGGAGTTTTAACTGGAGATATTGCGCTTTTAAATGATGAATTCTGCCTGATGTTTGCTTGTTCATCTCATGTGTTTTGATCAAGTTCATCAAATTGCTCTTAGAGATGAGAGAGTAGAGGAGTATTACGCAAATTGTACACACAATTAGCATTGAATTTAGTTATAGTTGTTTAATTACTCGGTTATCCAATGGAGAGATCTGATTCGTCCCCTGTTTTGGTTAATTATGTGCTATAATCTCTGTTAATCATAATATAAGTCTAATTTACCAAGTTCTCCCTGGTAAAACCTCCTGCAAAACTGAGAATGGTGATTTTCTGTTTGTTTTACTTGGAGCAAATCTCGATTGTGTTTTAGATTGTTTTCTTTGGTTAAGGTTTCTAATATCTGAATACTCTTATCTGTTGAGGACACCACGAACCGCTCCATCTTATTTTATCTGTGACAATCAACAGACGAGGAATCTGCTGCGAATTGCAATATTCAACATTAGTTACATCAGGGGCCTTTTCCCTGAGAAATATTTCACTGACAAATCTGTTCCAGCCTTGGGTAAACTTTCTATGACACTTGTGCTAAATGTGCTTACTGAGTTTCAGGATTGATTCTATTACTCTCTGCCTTATTATCAGATATGAAAATTAAGAAACTAATGCCAATGGATGCGGAGTCACGCAGACTCATTGACTGGATGGAAAAAGGCCTGTCTATCTCCTTATCTGCTGGAATTATAGCTCAGAATCTTATTCTCTCTATTTTATTTCACGCATGTTTCTTTTCATTTGTAGGTGTTTATGATGCATTACAGAAGAAGTACCTGAAAACGCTTCTCTTTTGTGTGTGTGAAGCTGTTGAAGGGCCAATGATTGAAGAATATGCATGTAAGATGCTACAATTTAAATTTGCTCTGCAGGAATTTGTGGTCGTGGAGATAATGTTGACAACACCGTATCATCTTTTACATGTGATATTTTGTACAACAACACTAAATCATGAACTCAGACAAAGACAGTTGCATTTTAGTTTTTTTCTTGAGGAACTACCTTTGTGCTTCTACAGCTTAGGTTCATACCACTTTAAAATTTGCTTAGTGATGAACATAATACATAAAGCAGGACATAGATACTGCTCTCTGTTTTAGGAAATTTGTTTTTTTAACATTCCACTGTTGCTTTGGTCATATATTAACACATTTGTTCCCACAGTTTCTTTCAGTTATCCAAATTCTGATTCTCAAGAAGTTTCAATGAACATTAATCGTTCTGGAACCAAGAAGGGAGGGACCTTCAAATGCAATTCCACAAAAGAAGTTACTCCCAATGAGATGAGGTAGTTCAAGCAAGATAAGTGGATCTAGATTCTGGTTGTTGTTATGTTGAAAATGTTACTTTATTTCAAGAGTGGCTTGGAGTTTTATGCAAGCCATTGTTTTCAGGAGTTCTGCATGTAAGATGGTCAGAACATTGGTTCAACTGATGAGAACTCTGGACCAGATGCCAGAAGAGGTACTTTACTGTTATTTTTAAACTTAAATTGAAATTACTTCTGTTACTCATACTTGAGGTCATTTTCTGTTTCCATGATTCTAAACCTAACATACTTATTTTCTTTCAGCGTATTATCCTGATGAAGCTCTTGTATGAGGATATCACGGTATGTGCTTTATCAAGTTATAATTTACCAGTTATTTCCACCACTCATTGTATTATTGAGTTTCTAAAGAACTTTAATAACTATTATTTGAGTTTCAGGTAGTTAAATTGTATACACACATAGATTGTCTATCCATTTTCTTCTTTGGAGTACATGACACAGAAATTGAAATATTCAAGGATTCCCATAATTTACTGTCATACTCTTTGAGGTATTCTAATCTTCTATATCGGAAATATTTAGGTAATTAGTATATGAGGGGGATAGTTTAGTCTTCTGTTAGGACTCGAGTAGTTATGGCCATGCATATGGCAGGTATCTCATGGATTAATCCACCTCCATAAAGTTGCATTTATGGATTCTTTAAAGTTGTGCATTTGCTTGGCTTCCTTATATTGTCCACATAAAGTAAGAGAAAAACTCTTGATCTTGCAGCCTGCTGATTATGAGCCTCCTTTCTTCCGAGGCTGCACAGAAGAGGAAGCTCAAAATCCCTGGAGTAAAATTCCTCTCAAGATGGAGGTTGGAAATGTCAACAGCAAGCATTTGGTACTAACTCTGAAGGTAAATGATGTAGCTGCGGGAAATTATGCTATTTAGGTCAAGGGCTGCATCTAATCCACATTGATTGTGATGGGAACTTGTGTAGGTTAAGAGTGTGCTTGATCCTTGTGAGGATGAACATGATGAAAACCAGGATGAAGTGAGCTTGGGAGCTGCTGATTCTTCTCAGACTGACGGAGATAGTGATTCTGATAGTGATGTAATGTCTCAATAGCACTTTCTGTTTAAACTTTCCCTCTTGCATACATAATTCAAGATGTTGCAACATACTAAAACTTTTTAACTGGAATTCATTTCAGGCCAGTATGTCAGATGAAGATCAATACATAGTTGCGCCAGTCGGTAAATGGACATTATTGTGTTGTGCTTTGCAAATTCTTGAAGATTCACCTTTTTTATGTAATTCAGCAAATAATTATTCTTTTGGCAGAAAAGCAGCAGGGTCCTGAAAATGGCACCACTGTTGACGAAGGTATACATCTACTTGCTTAAAAAATAATACTGGACTTCAGGATCACAATCTGATCCATGGCAAGCTATTTGTTCAGATGATACTCAGGATCCGGCAGAGGATGGACAACAATTAGAGCGGGTAAAGGACTGGATCAACACGTACCACCTTGAAACCATTGAACTTACTGACATTCTCGCAAACTTTCCAGATATCTCAGTGGTAAGCAGTAGTTTATATGGTGAAATTATGTTAAAGAAAATCGATCTCTTTGAAAATCTTCTAATAAGCTTAATTAAGCACCTTCATAGTAAAGGAGTATGGTTCATGCTATCATTGTAAATTTCTATTGCAGGTTTTGATTGAAGGTAACTCAGAGACCTGTTTTGTGCTAAAGCTGATTACAAAACAAACTTACTGTTGCCACTGTTTCATCATTTCGTCCTGGTTTTACTCGTATCAGAAATCATGGATAAGCTCATTAAGGAAGGTGTACTATCAAAATCTGGTGAAGACAGTTATAATATCAACAAAAAGAAGGTAGCACTTTTTCATTGGTTGATTAGCATTTTTTACTCATATTTGTTGTCGTGTCTTAATTTTTTTCCCTTTTTGGCAATGTGTCAATTGCAGAAATTTGACTATGACTTTGATGTTGTGAAAGAAGAAACCAATGTTCAAATGTTACCAATTGGAAAGTACAGTACAGATGATGGTCTTATGTACATGAAGGTGAGTTATTTTGAAATTT